GTAAAGCACCATCTGTGGGTTATCTGATCCTCACAGCCCTGCCATCTTACAGAGAAAGAGACTAAGGATCACAGAGGTGATGTGGTTCTAATCCTTTAGAACTCGGGTCCTCTGCCACCTGCTGTGCTACTGAGCGAGCTGCCTTACAAGAGACAGTTAATAAATGGTTGGCTTTGTGAAGGAAGTATACTGGCCAGGTGTTCTCTTTTTTCACCCAAATACCTCTTTTACTTTTCTTTGCTATCTTTTAGATAGCTAGAGTTGTAGACTATGGGCCCTGGATAAACTAACTGTTAACTCTGTAATCATTGGCTTTCTCTCTCGCTTCCCTTTCACTACCGAATTGGAACAGAGAGTGCTTTACACTTGCCATTGCCCCTCCTGTGCCCCTGCACCATCACTGCTGCCATCTGGTGTCCACTGCTGTCATAAATGGCTCTCCTGAGGTCATGAATGCTTTCTTCTGAGACCTTGAGCAAGTTCCCTAAACTTTTGAGGTAGCTAGTTGGCAGAGTTGATAGAATGCTGGGCCTGGAGTCAGAAAGACCTGAGTTCAAATCTTGCCTCATATACTTCTTAGCTATGTGACCTTGGTCAAGTCACTTAACCTCTGCTTACTCCATTGTCATAATAGCACCTTCTTCCTAAGGTTATTGTGAGGATCAAATAAGATGATTTTTTTTAAGGTACCTGGCACATAGTAGGCACTTAGTAGATCTCTGTTCCCCCTGTCCTCCTGTCCCTCCCTGTATCCTCATCTGTAAAATGAGGGTGTTTCAACCAGCTGATCTTTACAGACCTTTGCAGCTATAGGACCCTTTCTAGGACTACTCACCCAATTCACAATGAAGGTTGCTTCTACCAGATGATTACTCCCTAGTTTCAAGGTACCCTTTGGTATTTGAGAGTCTACACTCCTAATACTAGAGCTCACAAGCTCCCACCATCTGTATTTACCTCCATTAGCCAGTCAGAGTGCACAATTAGCTCAGAGTAAAGGCATTTACAGAACTGTCTTGGTAGTATTAGTAACAGTAGTATCAGAAGATGTCCACCATAATAACCTGGGTGTGCTGTCCCACAAATCCACCCAGCATCCGAGCAGACAAACTTAGAATGCATGAAGGGAGAGACATATTGATTGAGTACATGTGGCTAAGGCATTCCCTCCCTCTCCCCATCATTTTCTTGTTTTGTGTGTTTAAAGGATTTTTATTGATGCCTTGTATATATAATAGAAGCCCCTTAGCCTAATTTTCTGCAGGAAGATTATAATTTCATGCACAGAAATAACATGTTGTCAGTCCTAGTTTCTACACCAAAGTAAATTTACCCAGTTTGGCCAGGGCCATTATGAAAACCAAACTTACTTTGTTCGTTTTTACACAGTCTAGCTTTCCATTGTATTCCTCCTGCTTCTCCCCACTTCACAGATAGTCATTCCTTATAACAATGTATTAAAAATCAGGGAGAGACAAATTTAGAAAAAGGACCAATGTATAAAAAAAGACATGTGTAATGTTCCACACTCTCACATCTCTCTTTGGACCACACTTGTTCTTTTATTTTGCATCATTATTTTATTTTTTTGTTGTTTTGTGATGATAGTTCTTTACATTTTACATTGTTTTAATCATTGTATATAATGTTTTCCTGACTGTGCTTGTCTTTCTGTGTTCCTGTAACCATTAGGTTCATTGTTTCTTACAGCGCAGTAATCTATTTCTATTTTTACTATATTCATGTGCCACTATTTGTATGTGGGCATCTACTTTGCTTTAGTTCTTTGCTACCACAAAAAAAAAACCAACCAAAACCCAGAAACATTTCTGTAATTATTTTGACGTTATGTGGAACTTTTTTTATTGTCAGTGTGTCATTCTTAGGACGTCCCTGCACTGCCTCTCCAAAGCATAGTGTCTTGATCTGAACCACTCTGGGTCTTCCAGGCCTCCTCTTGGGTGGAGTGCATGACTCTCATGGTTGGCCATGCTCTCCACTGCCTCTAGCTTCAGGTTTTGCTGAAATCCTAGCTTAGGGCACTGCTATGCACTTTTGGAAGGACCTGTACCCATGTGGTAACATTAGTAGGAATTTTGGCTCGAGTTCTGCCATCACCAAAGTAGTATCCCAATGGCAGGCCTCAAACTCTTGACACTTCAGCTCACCCTTTCTCCCCTGGACAGTGCCATGTGCCATTGTTGATGAGGAGAGAGATGGGAAGGGAGAGAAGTCTCTACACAGCCTTGTGGACCTCTCCAAGAGGCACAAGAGGAAAGGTGAAGGTCCAACTTTTTCTTCAGTGTGGACTTGAAGCTGTTTTTTAAGGGCCACCAAAACTTATGTTCTCTTCTTCTGCCAGCTAAAAGGTGTAAGGTGTCTGTTGCCTTTATCCAGTGGCCAATGTCCTATAATCCTCTCAGGTTGATTTCCTTTTTTCTTTCTTTTTGGATTTCTCTTTATTTTCACTTTAACAAATACCATATAAAACAAGCATTTACATATACATATCAGAACCGAAGAAGATTGTGCTCAAAACTACAAATCTCTATTATATAATTTGCTTTTCTTTTTAAATATATAATCAGTTCAACATGTAATTTTCAAATCTGCCCTACTCAACTTTGTTTCTTTTTTAACTCTTCTTTACGTTAAAAAAAAATGCTTAAATGACCCTCTTTTCTGTTTGTTTATTTTTTTTTGGAGGTGGAAGAGGCGGGAAGCAACCTATCCCTAACTCCTGTCTCCTTCCCATACCCCAGTGGGGAAAAAAAAAAGAAAAAGAAAACTCTTGTATCAGATATGCTTACTGAAGCAAAACAAACCCATGTGGTATCCCTGTCCAAAATGACATCCCATTCTTTCTCTGAGTCCGTTCCCTCTCTGGCAGGAGGATGCTTCCTCACTGGACTTCAGGAATCTGTTAGGTCATCACATTGATAAAAGTTCTTAAGTCTTTCAGACTCTTTTCTGTACAGTGTTGTTAGTATTCCTATTTCACCTCCCTTCATTCTGCGTGAGGTCCTAGAGGTTGCTCTGAAACTGTCCTGTTTGTCACTTGTTATGGCACAATGAGAGTCCATCGTGTTCTTCTCTCACAGCTCGTTTCCTACGGCAGCCCTTTAACTTCTGCTTTGATACCACCAGAATTGCTGCTGTCAGTCTCGTTGCACTCCTGGGTTGTCACCTCTTCTGTCTCTCTGGGCTGTAGGCCTCATGTTGCTTTCCCTGGAGAGTGAGGACCTCCTTTGCACTTTTTTGTTGAGTGTGTTCTTCAGGAAAGCTGTCAAGTACTTCCTTCTTGCCTCCTTCTACACTCTAAAATGTGATGGTCCTTTTAGGACAGTGCACTCCCGAGGCACTTTTCTCTTCCCCCCATCTCTGTAACATGGGGCACCGCCCCAGCTCTTGCCTTGTCCCCCCTTTTCCTTTTTCTATGCTCTCTCCTTTGCTGATTTGATTCCCTCCTGTGGTTTAAATTATTACTTCTATGCAGATGATTCCCAAATCTATTTCCCTTCCCTGAGCCCCAGGGTCATATTTCCAGCTACCTGCTGGATATTTCATCTGGATGTCCTGCCACAATCTCATGTGTCTTCAGGACATCCACTGTGAAGCCACCAGTGTTCCCCAAACATTTCCCTCCTCCTCTCTTCCCTCTGTGTTATTTCCTCCTGTCATTCTTAGAATCATTTAGGCTCAATAGGGTCTTTATTCCCAACTTCCACTTAGTTGCCATTTCCTTCATTGCTGCATACTTTATGTTTCTCTTTTCCCTTACTCCTCTTGCAGAGCAATTTTAATAGCCTCTGAACTGTTGTCCTGCCTCAGTCTTAAAGCTGCCATATAATCTTAATGCATCACACCAACAATGTTGCTTCTCCACTCCACAAAAACAGAATGCCTTCAGAAAGAACCCATTGCTTACCTGATAAAATGCAAACTCCTTATCCTGAAGTGCCTGGGTGATGTCTCCAGTCAGGCTCTAAACTGCCTTTCCAATGTTGCCTCACATTCCTTCCCTTCACGTACTGTGTGTTCTTTCCAAACTGGACTACTACCCACCCTCTCCCTCATCCCTGTCTTTGTTCATTACGTCTGATCCCTAACACGTACTGTTTCCTCCCATTTCCACTTGTTGAAATAGTAGGTACTTATTTTTTTTTTAAGGCAGTTGGGATTAAGTGACTTGCCCAGGGTCACACAGCTAGTAAGTGTCAAGTGTTTGGTCTGAGACCGGATTTGAACTCAGGTACTCCTGACTTCAGGGCCAGTGCTCTATTCACTGCGCCACCTAGCTGCCCCTAATAGTAGGTACTTAATAGACTTGTTTTGATTAAGTTACTTTGTTGCTAAGATATTTGAATTCATGAGCTTATAGGTTGGATGGCCTTTTATGAGATACATATTCTGAGTCTTCATTTCTTTGTTAAAAAATGGTATTGATATCCTCTGATTCTGTTTTCCCCCGTTGTATCCCTCCCCTAGCTCTTTCCCAGGGAACTGTACCTTTTAACAAAGAATAGTAGAGAAAGAGAAAAAACCAAAAACTGTTCAGCAGAACTGACCAACACACCAAGCCTGACAGTGTATGCAGCATTCCATGCCTGTAACTTTCCGCCCCATTCTTCTGCAAGGGGGAAAGTGGTTTATTCTCGGCACTTTTCTTCAGAGCCAAGCTTGGTTGTTATAATTATGCAGAGTTCAGTTTTGATTTTTTTCTTTGTATTCACATTGTTGTAATCATTGTATTTGCTGTTTTCCTGGTTCACTTTGTATCAGTTTATGTAACTCTTCCTTGTTTTCTTTATATTCATTATATCCTTCTTTTCTTAGAATGCAACAAGACGCCATGAGAGTCATACACCACCATTTATTTCGTCATTTCTCAATCAATGGGCATCTACTTGTTTCCTTCTTCATTTTGTAAAAATTAGGTAATGTAAGTTTGATAGCCGCAGCTGAATCCATAGTTCTTACCTTTTACTATGTTTTAACAGAGATCGAGAAGAGAGGCTAGCAGCACTCACCGCTGCTCAGCAGGAAGCGATGGAAGAGCTGCAGAAAAAAATTCAACTCAAGGTAGAATCCTTTGTATTTGAAGAGTCATGAATATTTCTGCAATGTTTAAAGATCACATAGTGTCTCTTTATGCTTGTGTATGTGTAATACGAGCCCCTTAGCCTAAGCATCAGCATTAAGATTTTAATTTCACTGCTGTCCACATCCAGAGAAAGAACTGTGGAGTCTGAATGCAGATCAAAGCATACTATTTTCTTTTTGTTTTGTTGTTTTTGTTTTTTTCTTTCTCAAGGTTTTTCCCTTTTGTTCTGATTATTCTTTCACAACATTATTTATGTGGAAATATGTTTTAATATATTCACACATGTATAGCCTACATTAGATTGCATGCCATCTTGGGGAGGGGTGGAAGGGGGGAAATTTTAGAACTCAAAATCTTATAAAAGCAAATGTTGAAAACTAAAAATAAATTAATTTTTAAAAAAGATTCTAATTTCACCCTCAGAAATGAAAAGGTCTAGACCAAAGTAGGCTTATCCAGTTTGGCCACATCCATTATGAAAACTAAGTGATATTCATGGATTGATTTCAATAAGGAAAACATTATATTATACTTGAAGTATAGCTTTGATGCATTGTACTTGTTGCCCTCTGTGAGATGGTCAGACGTGATTTAATAACAGCTGTGCTCATTGACAGCTTATGAAGTTCCTTCCTCACAACAAACCAAGGAATAGTTTCTGGGTTACCCTTCCCATCCATCACAGAAGGAGTCTGCTATTCCGAGGCTTGCCCAAGTAGCAGAGGTGGAATTTGGCCCCTGAGTCTTTGCCTGTAGGCCTAGTGATCTTCCTGGTAGTGATTTGGTCACTGCTGCTTTTCTGAAATACCGAGATGAACCTGAAACCAATTGATGAAATCGCTCCAGAGGCTTACAAGTTTGAGATGATAACATTAGATGATAAACATTATGTTTAATTGGCTGTGATTGTCCTTGGTCACATGAAGAGAAAATGAAAGAATGTCAAGGTGGCCTATATGTCCTTGTGTATATGTATGTGTTGGCATGGTTCCAGTAAATGTTCTTCCTGAAGTAGCTGGAACTGGATATTTCCATCATTTCATTTGAAGCTTTCAATATGATACTATTTATTCTGTGTGGTATTCAGGGCCACTTTTGTGCAATGTGAATTGCTTGTTGTATTATAGCATGATGAAAGCATCCGAAGGCACATGGAACGATTGAACAAAGAAAGGAGAAGGCGGCCGAGTTAAGCAGCGGGAGACACGCTAATACTGATTACGCCCCGAAACTTACACCGTACGAACGGAAGAAGCAGTGCTCACTCTGCACTATCCTGGTAGGCTGCGGGCTCTGCAGAGTGGGGTAGGGCATTAGAGGTTAGCCCCATAATTTCATAAAGAACTTCTTTTTTCCTGACTGAGTCATCCCGAGTGAGCCTTTTCCTCAGCAGCACATGCTGCTTTCTTTTATTATTGTTTTTACATTTTATTTTTTTGCTTTTTTGGGGGGGAGTTAAGTGACTTGCCCAAGGTCACACAGCTAGTAAGTGTTAAGTGTCTGAGGCTAGATTTGGACTCAGGTCCTCCTGACTCCAAGGCCAGAGCTCTATTCACTGTGCCACCTAGCTGCCCACGTGCTGCTTTCTTTCATTAGTTCTAATGCCAAGGGCTTCATCCTGATGTTCAGGAAAGGCTGTGCAAAGGAGCAAAACCTCCAGTCGTGTTGCTGGGATGCTTTTATCTCTGCTTCAGAGCAGGCAGACCAAATCAGTAATTGTGTGTCATGGAGCTGGACAAAGGGAAAGGCTGAGCAGACAAGCCATATTCCCCACCCTGGAGGTCTCCTGGGTCCCTGCTTGGGCCTTGCTGTGACTCCTGGGCCTCTTCCAACCCAGGGCACTGGTTTTCTTTTGATAATTTTCAGTATTACCCCCAAAAGAGAATAGTGTTAAGTAGTGATTTAAGAATCACACTTGTCATTGAATAGATTATTTATTGCATTGTATACAGATTAACATTTCTTTTAGCTTTATTGGGCATTATCTGATAGTGTAATCATGTGTTTCATCATTAATATTTATAATTATTTTTTAATATCTTATGCTTTTAGATTTCTTCAGAAGTACATCTTTTTAGTCACATCAAAGGGAAAAAACACCAACAAGCCGTTAGAGAAAACAGTAGCATCCAAGGACGAGAACTCTCCGATGAAGAAGTGGTAAGTTTTACAGAAAAAATTTCCATAGTTTCATTTGTTTCTGTGATCTGTTTAGCCTTTAGCTCTGGAAGCCTGTAGAAAAACGCATCCAGTCACGTCTGTTCTACAGAAATGTCATGTAAATAACAATCATCAGCAACACGCAGCAGAACGTCCTGGCAAAGAATGAAATGCCACTTTAACATCCTAACCGAAGGGAAGAACCCACCTGGTAGCGCTTTGAACAGAAAAGCGAGTTTCTGAACCTAGACGAAGGAGGCAGCATGATGGCTTGCAAAGAGTCCTGGCCTTAGAGCCCCAATAGCACTGGCCTTGCGGTCCCTGTGACCTCGGGCAAGCCTCCCTGGCCTACACCGGACCCCAGGATTCTATGACTTCGTGGCATGCAGTCATTTCAGTGTTTTAATGATTGAGAAAAGACAATACATCTGTTTTGTGGAATCACCTGCTTTGAGGCTGGTTTTCCTTCGTACTTCTAACTATTTTCAAGGCATAGTGACTTGTTACATGTTACTACTCCTGTAGGAAAAAAAAAGCATGCAAGCTCCTCCAGGAGCAGGTGATTTTTGAAAGGGGAGTATTCCAAAGGGCCAGGAAGGTCCTGTGGTCCTCCCTTAATGGGAAGTCTTCACAGAATGCCCAAGGGTGGCCACTCAGAGTTCTGGATCCCCTCATTTTAAAACTAGGGTACTCTCATAAGTGTGAAGTGTTAAGTAAAAGTAGATAGGAAAACAAATTAGGTAAAATGCATTATTTTCCTGAGATCACTTGAGCGTTTTAAGAGAAAGATTATTTTTTGTTTACTTTTTCTTCAATTATCTACATAATTGTTTTCATTCTCCACTTCTTTGATAATGAGTCAGATAGGTGATGTACTAGGTGGGTAAGAACACTAGACTTGGAGTCAGGAAGACCTGAATTCAAATCCTGCCCTGAACACTTTGTAGCTGTGTGACTGTGGACAAGTCATTTAACCTCTCTCAGTCTCAGTTGCATCATCTTTAAAATGGGGCTAATAATAACATTTCCCTCACAGAATTATTGTGAGGATTAAATGAGATAACATGTTTAATAGTTTGCAAATCTTAAAGCACTATCTAAATGCTAGCTATTGTTACTGTTTTTATTAATGCAGGCTGGAGCAAAGACCAGAAGTTATATGTAAGTGTATGCCTCCTTCAGAAAACTCTAAATTTGCTAAACAAATAAATTAGGGCATGATTATTTGTAGTACAAAAATATTTTCTACAGAGTTACCTTGGTATAAGTGCCCTGCCACATTTATAGCATAAAAAATGTTTACAAATCTTATATAAGCAGAATTTTCAAAGAATATTTATATTGTATAACCTGAAGTCAACTTTGTGGATTTAGGGGCTGGGTAGATAAGAGGAAAATCTTAAATGTTATGAAGAAAGCAGATTGACTCTGTTATCTTTATTTCATATTCTGTTTCATTTTTAAAGAAATTCATTCTCACGTCAAATGGAAATGGGTCTAAAGATCATGTTTCTACCCAAGTAATACTTTTAAATTATTCTCACAGAATTTATGCAGTTAATTCTCAGTTTTAGTCTCTTCTCATAGAAAGTAGAATAGGCTCAAAAATAAGTTTCCAAAATAACATATGAGTGAATTATGTTTCTAGTAAGGCAATTTTATAGCCACTCATTGCAAAGTTTCATTTTTAATCAATGAAGGTATCTATAGTGAGCGTACTTATACTACTTAAAGTTATTACTTGTCATCTGTGATGTCTTTATATCATATACACCTTGTCTGTGACCCTTCTTCCCTGACGTATAAGATTTTATTTATACCACCTCTGACCTAATAAAATTACACCTTTGACCTTGTGCACTTGACATCTTGGATAACTAACTCTTGATCTTTGACACATTTTGCTTTAAGCTTGTTAAGCATAATCGGGAGCTGCCTAGGAAGAAAGCTTTATTGTTTTGTTTTGTTTTGCTTATTATTGGAAATTGACCAGGGAATTTTTCTAGACTCCTTGAGAGATTACAGAAAGGGCTGGTATTTGTCAATTTTAACCTTATCCTTATCTGAGGCTCAATGGTAAAGGTAGAAAAATACCTGAATTGTAGTGCATACTTGTATTTTGTTTTTATAAGTAGCAGGGGATAATTGCCTCCTGGAAAAATACTGAATGACCAGTTTTATTTATGCTTTCTTTTGTGTTTTGTTTTCATCTATATAAGACCTAGGAAATACTAAATTTACTAAGATATAGAAACTAAAATTCAGACTAGTCCATATGGAAAATTAATTTTGAATACCTTTTTTTTTGACAAATGTGTCATGAAAATATGATTCAGATTTAGGTATGTTCTGCAAATGCACATTTTGTCTAATTCAAAATTTTTTTATGTACTTAAATATGGAACAAGAGCTTGCGTAATTTGTAGTGGACTCTTGAAGCATTATGAGAAGCTCTTAATTCTCCTTAAGGCTCAAATCTTAAAGTAGTTATATGGTTGATAGGATATTTTAAATTTAATGTGGATCTAGAATCTCCCCAAATTAGTTTTTTGATCAACCAATAAATAAGCTAATTAGATGACTGCAGAAAGAGAAATACAATGTTGAAATGAGAAAGAATATAAACACAACAGTGTATTAAAGAAAATGATTTGTTTGCTGACCTCTTTGCTTGTTAATGCTTGGCATTGTGGAAGAAGGGAAAGGGCAGTGACTCCTCTGGTGTTAATGACAGTTTGAGAAATAATGGGGAGTTCCTTTTATTCTGTGCCTTTCTTCATCCTCATTCACATTTGAATTTTAACGTATTCCTTGTTTTTTTTTCTTTTGTAAATTACTATCAGTATATTTAAAGAAGTAGACCTTTGTAGTGCCCCATTTCGCAAACATTAGGCAAAAGCTTGTTTCCTTATCAATACAAATCACACAAGATGGACAAAACTAAAATAATTTACCATAAATCTTCAGTTTTACGGTTGTATTTTGAATGGATCAATTAATTATAAAATTCAGTCTTCAAGTTGAATTTGAAGTATCACCTTTCTGTTTAGGATATAGCTTCTATTTCTGTCCACATTTTTACTTACAGACCATGTGATTGATTTTACTTTGTAAATTTCTTTTAACCTAAGGATTCTCTGCTTCACATGTGATTTTTTTTGGAGTATTATTTCAGGACTTTAGACAATTTTATTACACTTATTTTTTGTTTTATTGGCTGGTGAAATCAGATCTAGGCATACTAATCGCCAATCAATAAATCAAAACCATAGGCCAACACTTTTTTTTATTCCCTCAGTCCTCTGTTGCAATGTGTAGAATATGATGAGGCATAGTATGCGTGTGTGCATTCAATCTTATTTTGTTCTAAGCCAAGTTTCTTTTCCTTAAGCTCCTCTGATTACTTTGATGTTTGATTCAAGCAAAGCTTTCAATCTGGTGGGAGAAGATAAGGCATGTACACAAGACAGTTGGAAAGAAGGTAGAATCTGAAGTCTTAGACGAAGGGTTTGAAGAAATATGATGGAGAAAAAAGCATCACATGCTAGTGAGGTCAGGCTTCATGAAAAACGTGGCCTCTAAATTTGACTTTGAGTAAGGAGTCAGCACAGAGCTGTGGAAGGACCTTGGCTCAATACTAGCTCTGCCCCTTACTCCCTGAGAGGCCTCGGGCAAGTCACCTCCTCTTTCTGGACCTCTGCAAAATGAGAGGATTGGAGTTGATGATCGCCAAGATTCCCTCTAACTCTGGACCTATGATCCTCTCGTTTCAGGGGGAGTATGTCCTATGGGTGAGACAGGATCTACCCAGAAACAGGACAGGGCAGAACAAGGTTGGGGAACACCTGGTAGTCCAGTTTAGCCCCAGCCCAAAATATGTGAAAGGTAGTAGTCTGAAACCAAGTGGGAAAGTGGCTCCACATTGTTAGGTACTGTGTTGGCAACAGAGGAGGGTATAGGCACAAACCTGCCGAATGTTTTCAAACCAAGAAGCTACATCGTTGGACCTATTTATTTAGAAGATTATTTTGGCAGCTGTGTAAAGGAGAGATTGGAGGTAGAGAAACCACTATGAGAGAATTATAGGTATGCAGCTGAGAAATGACAAGGACTTGGGAACCAAGGTTGTCGAAGTGCGAGGGAAGGAGTCAGTTTGCAGGGAAAGTGTGGAGGCTGGAAGGACAGGACATAGCAACTGATTAACTGAAGGGGGTGGGGAAAAGCCTGGCAATGAAGACAGAGAAGTTGGGAGCAAAGAGAAGCTTTGAGAGGAGGGTAATAAATATAGGTTGGGACATTGTGAATTTGTGGTGCTAATGGAGCACCCTTGAGATGGAGATGGCAGAGAGGCAGGTAGAACCATAGTTCTCCATAGGAGCTGGAGACTCCTGTGGTGAGATTATGGGGGAGGAGGAGGGGTGTGTGTGTGACAGAGAGAGAGAGAGAGAGACAGAGAGAGACTGAGATTGACTCATCTGCGCAGAGATGGTGATCACTGAAGTTAGGGGATGATGGGAGATCAGGGTGGTGGGGTCATAGCTCTAGGGCTGGAAGGGACCCCTTGAGTCCAGTCTAGTCACTTTACAGCTGAAGAGACTGGGGCTCAAGAAGGCTAAGGGACCTATCTGGTGACAGAGACAGTGTCAGAGGTGGGATCGGGTTCTAGAGTCCTTGTTCTTTCCTCTAGAACAAATCTAGAGAGGGTGGGTATGTTTATATACATAGATCCATATATAATAGTACTTAAAACACATTTGTTAAATTTAATTGAGTTGGACATTGAGAAGGCATTAATTATCAGCCAACTGAAATTTAGGGAAAATTTAAATCTACTGTGTTTCTTCTGCCAAGCCATTCCGAAGGAGAATGGCCATGACTGACACTGCATTTCTCATCCTTATGGGTCTTCAAGCAAAGTTCAGGTAGCTTGCTGTGGGGATTGTTGGAGTGGGCATTTGTGCGAATGGATTCATTTGGGGCCATCAGCATAGGAGTGTGGG